GAATCCCCTCAGATGTTCTATAAGTATGCTAGTAGCTCTGCATTAAACGGGCCTTTTTAATGAACATCAGTCTGTGTTCCCCGTCTCTTTGTTCCTCTGCTGGGGAGACCAGGGAAGTGGTTCTTGGCCACCGAACACATGCGTCACGCATCCATATTTTGAACTCACAGGAGTGCTTCCTGAGCAGTGCCCATGGGTTCTGGGGGTCATTCCTGGTGGTACTCAGCCAGCTGGACCAGATGCTTCAGTGATTGGACCCATTAGTGCTGAGATTCACTAGGGCCATCCAGTGGTACTCAGGGGCTTTCTGGGCCATACTGGCGGTGGTCAGGGGCCTTCACGTCTACACCCAGTGGTGTTGATGGGCCATTTGGTGCCAAAGACCACATTCGGGTTCCTTGAATCCCTGAGCTCTCTCCCTGTGTCTTCTGTCCTATTTTGTTTGCCTGCTTTCTAACAGTGTTCCTAATGTGTTCTGTGTTGTGTTATGCACATGCTCTGTTGAATCATGATTAGGTGCTTTATGATATTTCAATATTACAAACAGTCTCAACAGATATTTTTACATGGTTATGTCCTAAAAGCATATCCTACCATTGGGATTGCTCAAAGGGTTTGTCTTAAAATCTCATAGATATCATCAAATTTCCTTCTCAAATTCCTAATTTTTTTTTTTTAACTATACATGGGAGTAGAGCAGGAGCAATAGCACAGCGGGTAGGGCGTGTGCCTTGCATGTGGCTGACATGGCCGACCCGAGTTCGATTCCTCTGCCCCTCTCAGAGAGCCCGGCAAGCTATTGAGAGTATCTTGCCTGCACGGCAAAGCCTGGCAAACTGCCCATGATGTATTCAATATGCCAAACACAGTAATAACAAGTCTCACAATGGAGACGTTACTGGGCCCGCTAGAGCAAATCAGTGAACAACAGGAGGACAGTGACACTAATAGTGATACATGGGAGTGGTCACTCTTTGAAATTTTGCCAACATTGCTTAAAAAAAATCTTTATTTTGCACATTGTATTAAGATAAAATAACTTACTTTCATTTGTGTTCTAAGAAATAAGCCATACCGTCAAACTGATAATTTGCTGCTCTTAAAGTAATTTAAAGCATATTCCTTTGTTCTGAAAAGTAGTGTTTTTGGAATGTGTTGAATGTGCTGCAGGGTGACTTTGATTAACAATTTTGAAGATGCCCTAGTATTTATGTTCATTGAAAAAGTGAAAACAACTGTATCCTTTCTCTTTTTTTGTTTTTGTTTTTGTTTTTTGGTCAATGCTCAGAGATTACTCCGGGCTCTGCACTCAGGAATCACTCCTGGTGATGCTCAGGGGAACATTATGAAATGTTGGGGATCAAATCCGTGTTGACTGCGTGCAAGGCAGATCCCCAACCTGCTATAGTATTTCTTCATCCTCTGGTGTTCCTTATTATCACAATTACATGTGACACAGTTTTTTTTTTTTTGTTTTTGCTTTTTGTCTCATACCGTGATGCTCAGTGATTAGTTCTGGCTCTGCACTCAGGAATTACTCCTGTCGGTGCTCAGGGGACCATACATGCTGCCAGGTATCGAACCCGGGTTGGCTGCGTGCAGGGCAAATGCCCTTCCTGCTGTACTGTCACTCTGGCTCCACATGTGACATGCTCTTGTGTGACTTATCTCAACATAATAGTCTAATCCTTGGATGTCAGACAAAGCACTGATGGATCCTGCTCCATGCCAGAAGGGCTGTGATCTGAAGGCCATATCCTAGTAGAACTTACAGTCCAAGTACTTAGTTACATGTCACAGGGCAGTACATTCACAGGAGTTCCTCAGCAGGCCTGCTACTATTTGTCAGATAAATCAGATTCTCTTATGCATGAAGTAGTATATTAATAGAGAAGATAGTTGCTTATATTGGGGTGTGTTGGGACCTCTTTTCTGCAAGAGTGAAATTAGGGAGTTGGTATGTACCTTCAAAAGTGTCTGCCCATAACTCTTTGAGGAAGTAATGGGGGCAGATCCATTTATTAATTTTCTCTGAATGAGAGTCTGAGTGTACTTTGTTAAACTTCAATTGTCTTGCCCTTTGCCCTTCGGTTTCTGAGTGCTGGAACACCCATGTTCTTGTATGCCTTCTCCCTGCAGCATTGTTTCTGCAGAGAGGACCTGTTAATATGAACCTGAGATGGCCTGCCTGTCTGCTTGTGATGAGTTGCCTTATTGTCATGTCCAGAAGATGCTTGTCATGATTGCTGTGAGAATATTTGCAGCTCTGACAGACTGATGCTATGGTTTTGTTACAAAACAAATGCCCTTTATGCTCAATAGTTTTATACAGCTTTGGGAATTATATGAGGTGTATGTATGTGTATGCATACACGTGTATGTACAGCTTTGGGGGTTATATAAGAAGTGTGTGTGTGTGTGTCTGTGTGTGTGTGTGTGTGTGTGTCTGTGTGTCTGTCTGTCTGTCTGTCTCCCACCCTTGGTAATGCTCTTAGGATTACATGCTTTGGGGTCACTCCTAGTGGTGCTCAGGGGACCATGTAGAGCCAAGGCTGAGGACCAGATCTGGACTTCTTGCATGCAAAGCATGAGTTCAGTCTGCTGAACTATCTCTCCAACTTCCCCATAGTTCTTAATTTTCATATGTGAAATTTAAATGCTCCCCTTTAATCCTGTAATTAAAAAAATTAATACACTTCAAATGGTAGACTGACCTTAATGATTCTGAGACTAAATGTTATGTGAACCCCAGGGTATTAGGGGATACACTGGGTCTGTGTGAAGAACATAAACTTGTTGATTCAGGAACCATGTTCATGTTTGCATTTCCTGTCAGCCTCACTGTGAAATAAGTATTCACTGAATCTGTTTAAAGTCAAATTTAAGATTAGGGAGCTAGAGAGATAGTCTAGCCTGTAGGGAGATTGCCTTTGTACATGGCTGGCCTGTCTTCAGTCCTTGACATCCCATATGGTCCCCTGAGCCCCGCCAGGAGTAAGCCCTGAGCACTGCCAGGTGTGACCCCAAAACAAACAAAATTAATATAACTCACCTTATTAAAAATGATTCTGAGCTAAATGTCCTCTTGATCTCTATATTTTAAACCCCACTAGGTAATGTTAATAATAGAAAGATTGCTAGAAATAAATTTAAAACTTCATTAGCTCTTATGATTTATTAACTAGATTTCCTCCTTTGTTCTATTTCCAGAAGAAACAAATAACAAGAAAATTTGCTGTTGTAGGTCTTTGTAAAAATAAATTTCTTCTTAGATTATGTGAAGAAATAGTTCATCTTACGTACATAATGATTGTAGAGGTACAGGAAGGTGACCCAAACCACCCAGTGTCTGCTGTCACAGAGGAAGTACAGTCATTTCACCTGCAGCATATTGGGCTGAGCACTTGCTTTGCATGTACCAGAGCCTAGATTCTAAATCCTCAGCACTTCACAGTCTGCCACCACTGGGACTGACCTCCAGAAGTTCTTTAGCACTGTTGGTGTGCCCCAAAGCAAAAAAAAAAAAAAAAAAAGTGGGGGGAATAAAAAAAGAAAGAAGGTTAAGTTTGGGATTACTTTAAACAAAAATTGAAAGCTAAAACTAGTAAATATAATTATTGTCAAATAATTAACAGCAGATAATGATTTTTTTTTTTGGCCCTACTCAGCTATGCTCAGGGGTTACTCCTGGCTCTGCACTCAGGAATTACACCTGGTGGTACTTGGGAGACCCTTTGGGATTCTGGGGATTGAATCTGGGTTGGCCATGTGTAAGGCAAAGGCTCTACATTTTATTATCATCCCAATGCCAGATACAGTAACAACAAAGTCTCCAATGGAGACGTTACTGGGCCCGCTCGAGCAAATCGACCCAGTAGTAACTAATGTTTAATTATATGGCAGGTTCTCTTTGGAACACTGTGAGTTATCTTCTATATATCTTCTCATTCCTGGATCCCTCTTTTTTGTTTGGTTTTGTTTTTTATTTTTTGGGCCACACCTGGTGGTGCTCAGAGCTTACTCTTGATTCTGCACTCAGAAATCACTCCTGGCGGGCTTAGGGGATTGCATGGGGTACTGGGAATCAAACCTGCATTTGCTGTGTGCAAGGCAGCCCTACCCACTGTACTAACTCTCTGGCCTCAGCCTGGATCCCTCATTTTATGAATGAAGAAAAGAAAACATTCTTACAGCCGGTAAGGTTATTTTGACCAAGAATTAATAGGGGTTAGGGCCAGAATTTGATCCCATTCTGCCTGTAGAGCCTTAGATTCCTAACCATTGTTTTGTGAAATATTCTCATTTAATTGAAGAAGTACTATCTTGTTCCCAGAATAAACATCATTATAGCTTTAACAAGATTCGGGAAGTAGTTCTTATAATTAGGTTTCTAAAATAAGAAATTAATCTGGTAGCAGACAAGTTTGATTAATCAGCTTTATTTTAAAAGCACAATGGTATCTTAAATTAGAAGAGAGGAAAATATATTTGTTGAGGAAATTTACTTTGGTACATTTTTGTAAAATTCCCCATGAAGCATTGTTTTTGCCCTTTTAGGCATGTCACAAACATGTGACAGAAGGGTAACGGTAAACTAGAGAAATAAAGTCATACTCTAGCATATCAGTGAGGAAAAGATAGCTGGTTCCCTCATAACCTTATATAATGGTGAGAAGCGTGCTTGGGAATGAAGGGAGAAAGAAAAACTGTTTATCCTTCTTATAGTCATTATATATTTTGAGTGGCTTGACTAAGAAGTTGTTATTATATGTTTTGTAAGAGAGCAAGCCATTCTCCCTGATACCATGGAGATCTCATTGACTAGAACCATAACACCTAGTGTTTATAAGGATTTCCTTTCAGCTTAGACATAATCCTTTTAAGCTCCAGGAATAAATGTTGATTTTCAAGGTAGTGTTTTCCCACGTTGAATTTGTTTGAAAATCGAATGTCATTTTCTGCCTTATTCTTAAATATTGCTGTGTACATCATATTTCTAGGTAGGTGAACCTGTGAAACAATATGAAGAGGAGAAAATAGCATTTTAAAGAAATTGGTCCACAGAAAGGATGGCCTTCTTGGACAATCCAACTATCATTCTAGCTCATATTCGACAGTCACATGTGACCAGTGATGACACAGGAATGTGTGAGATGGTTCTCATTGATCATGATGTTGACCTAGAGAAGATTCATCCTCCTTCAATGCCTGGAGACAGTGGGTCAGACATTCAGGGAAGCAATGGTGAGACTCAGGGCTACGTATATGCCCAGTCAGTTGATATTACCTCAAGTTGGGACTTTGGTATTAGAAGACGCTCAAACACAGGTAAACATTGCCTTTTGCTCTCGTCTTTTGAGCTAGAAATAAGTAAACAGTAAGCATAATGTTGAGATAGGTTAATGGGAACAAAATTTTGTGTATTATGAGGAATGTGCAAATATTAAATGGAATGAGTCACACAGCATCTTCATCTTGGTAACCGTGAATGGAAGGCCTCTTGTATTAGAAGGAAGAAGACAAAGGAGAACTGGATGAAAAAGTGGCCTACGAGAGATCTGTTGGCTCTTGAGATCTGTTGGCAGTTGAGATCTGTTGGCTGTTGTGTTTCTGACAGCCATGCAGAAAGGAAGGGGTCTTGTTCTGAGAGTTTTCTCAGAGCTGCCTTAGTTCCTGTGGGTAGACACTCCGAAGACAGACTCCAGGTTGACAGAAAAGAGCCTTATTTCCTTAAATTTTAAAAAACATTGCTTTTGTTTTTGGGCCATAGCCCGGGTGCCCAAGGCTTACCCCTAGCACTGCACTCCTCTCCGGTCTGGGGAGCCATATATGGTGCCGGGTTTCAAATCCAGGTTGGCCACAAGCAAGGCTGTACTATCTCTCTGGTCCCAGAAAAAAACCTTTAATACCCCGAGTTTATTGGCCAAGGAGTCCCACTGCCGAAGGGGTATGGGAGTAGAGGGAGAAATGGAGGGAGTGAATTGAATATTTGTTAGGGCTACATTTTGGAGGCAGGGAGGTGGGAGTTGGGTCCATATCTGGTGGTGCTCAAAGGATACTTCTGGGTCTCTGCTTGGGTCACTCCTGGTGTTGTTCAGGGACCATGGGGTGCTGGGGATCTAACCATATTCTCCAGCATATAAATCATGTGCTTATCCCTTTAAGCCCTGCTTTTTTAATATTAGCCTATTAATAATTTCTGTGTTGACTGTGAGATTAGAAATAGTCCCCTGTTTTTGATACATTACCTTTATTTTCTTAAATTGATCTCCACTCTTTGATCTTCCTGGCTTGAAAATGCTCAACTTTTGTTAATTGTTAAAAGCTTGTCATTGACTATTTTTCAGCTTTGATTTTTTGGGAAGCCTTTCAAGAGGAATATGATGAACCAAAAGCTTTACTTAGATAAATTATTTAGAACATACAATGTAGTTGTTCTAATATGAGAGGTTATTCCTGGAGGCAATTTTTGAAATTATCAGAAAGTACAGTCTCGTAATTGGTAGCTATAACTGCCTAATTCTGAGGAAAGCAGTGACAGGAAATGTAGTAGAACATTGAAAATATTAAACTTATTTTCATTGTCCAAATGTGAAATACACATAAAGGAGTGTTGCAGATAGAGGAGGATATAGGTAAGAATAAATGACATTTTGGCTTAAAGTTTTGGTTTAGAATCCAGCATTCTGTGTCATTTACAAAGAATAATTTGCTCTCATGATCAAAATAATTAATCATGTTTCTCAGTACCTAAAGGAACTTGTATCAGCATAGCATTTGAGTGAAGGTTTGAAATTAATTTAGAACCATTGATTCTCACTTCTCTGGTTGAAACTGACTTCCTTGAAAGATACTGAGATGATATCTTATATGATGGGCTGAATGGATTTCAGTAGGAGAATGCTACTCAATTGAGATCTTTAAGGGTATATTACTTTGGCTGTACCCTTCACATTTATTAATTACATCTGAATGTACTTTTCTTCAGTGGAATTTGGTGCAGTACAGTAACATTGTCAGTCTTTGGCCAGACTAATTTAAATTTCTGGCAAGGTTAGTTTCAGTGTTTCTATGCCATAATGCTAAAGAAAAAGTATGATTTTCTACTTTGTAAAAGGTTACTAGATAAATTTCTTTAGTCTTTTATTAGCATTGTATCAAGATAGGAAGTTCAAGATTTGTAAGAGGAAACTGATTTAATAAGAAACTATGTCAGTTGTGAATTTTTTTCCCCATTGTAGTCTTCTATATGTGGCAGTAAGTCAGATCTTATTTCTTTAAAAGATTGGTTCATTGATTTTTTTGAAGGTTAAACAGTCATGATATAATTTAATATTTTTGATAAAATTTCTTAGGATTGCATTTGGAACTAATAATTAAGATTGTAAGGTGTTTTAGTGACCAAAGAATTTACTTTTAATCTTTTTAGCATACCTTAAAATTTTGCATAAGAAAAATTGTTCTTTTTAAGATTTGACTAATGTTACAAAGATACAAATCATTTATTTTACTACCTATAAACTGTTTCAGCCCACTGAAGAAAAGCTATGCTAATTTATATAGCTTTGACATTTTATAATTTTCATGATTTTTAGATAAAGGATTTTATATTTAAAACTTTAATAGTCTAGTCTGAGTTCATTTATCTTTAATTTTTGAAACGGGTAGAGTAATTCATAACAGTAATTTTATTCCTGTAATGTAATATTCACTTCAGTTCATTTGTGCATTAAAATTCCTTTAAGACCGTTATTAATGATTTATATAATGAAATGTCATATTAATCACAGAAGTTTTCACATTTTATTATTCTCTTCCATGTTAATACTATCTTTATGATCTCTATTAATGTTTTATATCCTCTAATTTCAATTATAAATCAAGAATATTTTCATGTTTTTGTTGGTATTTGCTTTTCAGGGGTGCCACCTTTAAAATTTTATGACTTTTTCCCTACAAATGCAGTATAAAACATCTTTATTCATATAAAGGTAGTTAATTATGTCTTTGTTTATAGTAAACTTTCATTGACAAACTTATAGTCATAATATTTCTTTTCAAGCTCAAAGATTAGAACGGCTTCGAAAAGAGAGACAAAACCAGATCAAATGCAAAAATATTCAATGGAAAGAAAGAAATTCTAAGCAATCAGGTAAATGGAAATGATTTTCATTGTTAACTTAAGATTTATATATTTATTTTCTGTTATTATATAGGTACTTTTATTTTTAATTCATCCTTTTAAGTACTCTGGGGACATAGCATTTGTGTTTGAGCTTTAATGTCTTTCACTTGGTGCCCTAGCCCTCTGGAGCTTTAGATCTTCTTGTTTGACCGCTGTTTATCTGGGGTCATAGGAATTGATGTGCAAAGCACATTTTGTACAGACTTGTGCCAGACCAAGGTACTGGAGCTAAAGAGTTTGTATGATTTGTAAGGTCATAGAATTCTCCTGAGATTTCAGCCTATACTTTTCTTAGTATTTTTAGTGGTTTTTTTTTTTTTGCATGTATGTTAATTCTTTTCCTTTAGCTTAAAAGCCTGTATACTTTCAGAATCTTTAAGGTTTGCTATATGTTTATTTAGTATGTATATTAAAAAGCTAGCTAGTGAGGTCTCAAAGCTCCAGATTCAAAAAGTAGAGACAAATTTTTTTGGAAACAAAGCATTATTAATTTATTTTATGATGATTTTATATGTTATCTAGACTTTTTTCTTTTTATCTTCTTTCAAAGAAATATCTGTAGTTTGGCTTCATAGTCCCAGAACCTCCAGTATCACTTTGATTTACAATAGATACCCAGTCAATTTTGTTGACTGACTCCATTGGTGCATAATTTTTATACAAGCTATCAGTATATACCAACTGCTGTTTGGCAGACTTGACAGACATTATTTCCAATGCAGTGTTCAAAAAAGTTGTAGGTATCATTGCTGACCTTAATAGATGAAACAGACTCAAAGGGATTAAGTTACAAAGATAGGAAGTGATTACTACAGCAGAAGCATGTTTCAAATTTAACACTGTCTGCATTTTATTTATTTATTTATTTTGCCATACCTGGCAGTACTCAGTGCTTACTCTTGGCTCTGTGCTCAGGGATCACTCCTGATGGGACTCGAGGAACCCATTGGGAAAACCATTGGGAATAGAACCTGGGCTGGCTGTATGCAAGGCAAGCACCCTACCTACTATACTATCATTCTAGTCCCTAGTACTCTCTGCTTTTAAGGCCATTTTCTTTTAAATCACACTCTGTAAAGTGATGTTTTCCTCATACTTTGAGTGTAAAGTCAAGTGTGTTTAGTGGGTATGATTTTCATAGTGATTGGTTCTAATAATGATGACATAGACCCAGAAATTACATTCATTTCTTCTTATGTCTCTCTCTCCTGTGATTTCCTGTACTTTGCCTTAATGTCTTTTTTGGTTTGTTTTAAAGTTTTGCTCTTGTTACTTCAGCAGTCTTTCTAAGATGGCCATTTTGATTGAGTTCATTTAATATTTCTGTCTGTTGCATTTAGCAGAAACTGAGAAACCTTTTTAAAAATCATTTATCTTGTCCACTTTCTTCTAATTTTTCATATATCTTAATGCTTTCCCTGTTAATCTCTTCTTAATATAGAACTAATTTATCTAAGCCTATATCAGAAAGTTACTGTTTTGTCACCTTCTCTATCTTAAAAAGTTATTTAAAAAAATAAGAACATTTAGGAAGCAACTAAAATAGAGCTGTTTTTTCCCTTTATAATATGAGAAATAAGATTTCAATTTCAATTTTGAAATGTCTAATAAATAAATTTAGATTCTCCTAATATGTCATTTTGATATCTGTAGAATGTGCTGGAGAAATATTCATCTTTTTAAGTTCATTTGTGACCATATTGTTTATTGTATATTGTACTCTCTCAGTTTTCTTTGATCAGATTTTAGTTGAAATATTTCATTTATTTACCCCATGATATATTTTATGGAAAAATCTTAGTGTGTCTCTCTGTGCTTTGAAATGCTGACCTAGATTCTGGCGAGACCCATAACCTGCCTGGTGATGACTCTTTTTTTTTCAAGATTTTTTAAAAAAATTTTATTGGATCACTGTGAGAAAGTTACTAGCTTTCATATTTGGGTTACAGTCAAACAATGATCAAACACCCATCTCTCCACCAGTGCACATTCCCTACCACCAATCTCCCCAGTATACCCACCTTTTCCACCCTCCCCCCGCCTCCATGGCAGACAGTATCCCCCATATTCTCTCTCTACTTTTGGGCATTATGGTTTGCAGTACAGACACTGAGAGGTCATCATGTTTGTTCCTTTATCTACTTTCTGCACACATCTCCCATCCCGACTGATTCCTCCAGCCGTCATTTTCTTAGTGATCCCTTCTCTATTCCATCTGCCTTCTACCCTCACTCATGAGGCAGGCTTCCAGCTGGCCCTTGTATCTACTGTCCTTGGGTGTCAGCCTCATGTTATGTTATTCTATACTCCACAAATGAGTGCCTGGTGATGACTATTAATGAGTGAATTTCATCAATGCACAAAGGAATGTCTTTGAATTCTCTGTGAAACTGGGATTCATCATTAAACCAGTTTGGCTCTCTGGATAGCGTGAATGCTGCTAGAGAAGTTCTAGCGACTGCCAGGCAAATTACCATCCTGGCAAACTGTACACCCATTCCAGAGTAATATCTCCAAAACACTTTTTTCTTTTTTCCCTGAAAAGGAAGCCATAACTGGGGGTTTTAGTGGGTAGGGCATTTGCCTTCAATGTGACTGATCCAGGCTTGGTACCCTGAATCACCTATTGTCCCCTGAGCCCACCAGGAGTGATTCCTGAATACAGAGCAAGGAGTAAGCTCTGAGCATCTCTGGGTGTGGCCCCAAAACAAAAACAAACAAAAAATGCTGCAGCCAAATGCATTTCCACTAATTGTAAATTTTGGTTAGGTATTATTCATGCTCTCATTCTTTTTTCTGGTATTTACTTCTTGTTAGAATATTTCTCCATTTTTCCTAGTTTTTAAGTTTATTTATTTATTTTATTATTTTTTAAATTTATTTTTTTAAAATCTAGTAGTAGAATCATCGTTATGAATAAGATTAACTTTCTCTGGAATATTATTTTAATTTTTTCGGAATCTTTTATTGAGACTCTGTGATTTACAAAGTTGTTCATATTAGAGTTGTTTGAGGCATACAATGTCCTGACACCAATCCCACCACCAGTGTCCCTAGGTTCCCACCCTTCAGCCTACCTCCTTGGCAAGTGTTTCTCTCTCTCTCTCCCCCCTCCTCCCTTCCCCTCCTCTCTCCCCCCCTTCTTTTGGGCATTATGGTTTGCAATAAAGGTACTGAAAGGTTATCATGTATATCTTTTACCTCACTTCAGCACTTAGTTCTTATAACTTTGGGAAGTTCTTATTGAGGATTTCTTTAATGTTTATTTAGCACATTTGCCTTCCGGTTCTTCAGGGCCTCTGTTGATTCTTATATTGCTCCTTTCAAACTCATCCCATTGTTTGCTGTTATGCTGTTCATTTCTTTTCAGGCTATTTCCTACCTTCTGCTATTTCCTAGTGATTTCCTCCATCTAATCTTGCTACTCCTTGATCTTTTTTTTTTTTTCCCTTATTTTATTTTATTTTTTTTTAAAGTTGTAGATTTACAATTTTTTGTGCTTTGGTTTCAATTATACAATGATCAGATACCCATCCCTCCACCAGTGCCCATTTTCCACTACCATGGATAATATCCCTCCCACCCCCATCCCCCCATCCCCCCTGTCTCTGTGGCAGGGCAATCCCCTGTGTTCTCTCTCTCCTTTTGGATGTTGTGGTCTGCAAAAGAGGCATTGAGTGGCAAACATGTTCAGTCCATAGCCTACTTTCGACATGCATCTCCCCTCCTGGGAGGATCCTCCAAACATCCTTTATTTGGTGCTCCCTTCTCTATCTGAACTGCCCTTTCCTCTAGGATACCCGGCTGGCCTCTAAGTTATGGAGTAATCCTCCTGGTGCTGATCTCAGCTATTCTTGGGTATTAATCTCATGCTATTCTTGGGTATTAATCTCATTGATCTTTTGCTCAGTTTCTTTTATCCTGCTGTTCAGAGCTTTTGTTGATTTTTTTTTTCCCATCACCTACCACGTTCTTCATTTCTCTCTCTATTTTTTCTGTTTGAGTCACACCAGGCAATGCTCAGGGGTTATTCCTGGCTGTGCATTCAGGAATTACTCCTGGCGGTGCTTGGGGGAACGTATAGGATGCTGGGAACCAAACCCGGGTTGGCCGCGTGCAAGGCAAACGCCCTACCCGCCGTGCTATTGCTCCAACCCCATTTCTCTCATTTCTGACTGTAGTGTGTTTTCATTTTGATTCTCATAGTTTCTTGTGCTTTGCTGACTACTTGTGCTATCGTTTCTTTGAATTTACTGAACATCCTCTTCACAGTGTTGCTAGTGAGGAATTGTTTCTTTTTCACTCATTGTGCTTGGTGGGCTTCTCTGTGTTTTTCCTTCTGGTTATCTAGTGTTCTTGTACATGGGGAAGTGTCTTTGTATTTACCCACCCTGGAAGATACTGAGGGATTAAGCTTCTCTGCCTGTTCTCACAGAATGACAGAAACAGTAACTGTGAGCAGCATGTCATTTGTTGCGTAGATCTATCGCATGACTGTGTGCTACAGAGCTGTGATGTGAGTCCTTCATATGGCGCAGGTCAGTGTGGAGGCCATAGAGGTCAGCAGGTCAGTAGGACATAGAGGGTAGGGAGAGGCTCTGCCTCCTGTTCTGGAATAGGCCCAGCAAAGTCAACTAGAGACAAGCTTCTTTGACCACAGGAACTCTCTTGATCTTGTGCATTTTTTAAGCATAAATGAAGGGTTTTTGTTTATTGCTTTTTAACATAGGAGTTTGAAGGAATCCTAGAATCTAACTGGATTCATACTCCAAAGGTTTTTTCTTTTTTCTTTTTCTTTCTTGCTTTACTTTTTTTTATGAACTTAGTGATCCATGTGCCATGAGATCATGGGATAAATTAATAACCTAAGAATAAGGTCCTTTAAAAATTTTCTATAACTAAAATTACTTGTATAATGTGAAGAAGCTATCATCAGAATGCAGTTTTCTTTCAAAGAGTATAACAGG